CAATCCCATCGCATCCCGCCCACTCTTTTCCACCTCCTCGACGGGTCGGTTCGCCTTGGTTCTGTCTGGCTGTCCGCCTAAAAATATTCCCACTAATCCTACACGAAAAACTATTTCGATGTTAATAATCTGCTTGAGAAACTCATAGCTATGCGATCCAGGCATCCAAATTGCTCCGAGCTGCTCCTTTGTATACCAATTCACTTACCTCGAAAAAGTGTGGGATTAAAGTCGCCTAAATTGTTAACGCTTGCTGAAATGTGTGGAAATATTTGTTTAGAATTTTCTTGACACTTTCGGTTTTATTTATTGTTATACAGGCATTTTACAGATCCGTTAAATGTTCAATTATTAAGTAGACTAGGTAAATATTATTACCATTGAGACATTTTAAGCATTTTATATTTAATATATGTTGGTAGATGAACCTTATATGAAAGCAAATTTAAGATTATATTTGTATTATTAACACCCAGAAATATCGGTTACCTCTTAGAGACTAAATTTCCGGATCTCACATCCGTGTCCCCATGAAAAATTCCACCCATTTGAGGTTCCATCTGACTTTTAGCCGTCTGGCGTTAATTTGCCTGCCAGCTTTACCGCAATGGGCTATATGTGGCAATGGTAATATTTGCACAGTCAGCCCAAGGGTCTCGGCCTCGGTCTGGGTCTCAGTCTCTCTCTGCGGGTATTTCCTTTCTGCATCATATAGGTGTACCTCATATATATGCGAGTATATCTGCTTTCTTGAACGTATCGTGCAGAGCTAATTTTCATGCAGTCATTCCTCATTCATTAAAACGTCGCATGGCGTCCGCAGAAGAAAGAAAGACGGCGAAGAATGGTGAAGAATGGCGAAGACGCAGCAGCAGCAGCAGCAGAAGACTGCTCAGCAGAAGACTGGGCAAGATGAAGAAGAAGAAGAAACCAAAGAAGCGGACGGGGGACTTTTGGCATGGCATTAACCCGTAGAACTCCTTTCACTTTACATTCTAATTCCAAAAGTTCCAGCATTCGCATACCAAGACCCTGTTACCTTGGCGAGGGGCTTGGCGGGGGAGGCCGGCATTCTTCGCTCCGGCTCCGGCGAAACCTGAATGCCCGATGAATGCTAATGCTAATACCTCGTACCTGGCCAATTTTCCCCTCGGGCGGCCTATAAAATATGTATGTGTGCAAGCGCACACGGTGCAAAAAAGCAAAATGTAAAAAGTATCACCAAAATCGGTCATTAGCTTGATGCTTTTCCGTGTCAAAACAGTTGTTATCGGTGGCATAACGACATGAAAATTGGTATGTGCCTAGCTAAACCACCCATTATCTCGAAAAACTAGCAGGAAAATATATCACTTTTATTTTGAGTTCAAAATATAAGTTTAAACATCATATTTTTACCTTTTCTTTGTCCATTATTACTCGGAATAAATTGATTTGAAATAAATTTGGCTAACCAACATGAAATAAAAATATTCTTATAATATCCAATGTTAATCTTATATCTATTATTTATTTTATACATCTTGGATTATTTTGAAATATGAGTTTAAAGACTATATCTTCTACATCTAATTTTGTGGTGTTACTCTAAATTCATGTTTTATGTTTATAAGCAATAGTAAAGTACCAAAACCAAATACAAAATATTTTTCTCTGTGCAGCTCCATAAAAGAATTCCCAACTAAAAAGAGCAAGCTATCGATCGAAGTTCGAAAAGGCGGCCAAATCGATGACACAAATAAAATATTAAATTGCCCCCAACCACTATGCATTATTAAGTAACTGGGAAGCGTGGATGAAATATAAACAATGGCACTATCTGCAGCTAAGTGTTTACACCCAGTTAAATAAGCTCAGTCTGTCAAATGGAAATTTGAATCGGAATTGAAATTTCTTGTCTCCAAAGTGAGTTCTTTAACTGGAACATAAGTGATAAGGTCTCAGGCGGAAATCTAGGCATTGATAGGGAAAATAACCCTAATAACATATGAGGAGTGTAGAAAGCGAAGTTCTTAAACTTCATTGTCAATCAATTACAAAATCATTTTCATTTAAACGGGACAGGAAATGCATCTTAAATTACATTTTAATAGGAATTGGAAAGAAAGCTAAAATTAAATTTCGGGAACTACATACTTTTTAAGCAAAAATGTATTAAAGCTATTTTTATTGTTAAAGTATTTTTGAGAAATAAGAAAATTTGATGTTTTAAGGAATTGACACGTTCAGAAAATTTATGAGCATCAATATATAATAATTGTTTTTAAGAAAACGAATAACAAATAAAATAATTTTAAATATTATTATGTAGTTAAACTAAATTAAATATTACCCACTATCATATATTATTAAATAAATTAAAAGCTTATTTTGTAAAACCTTCTAAACTGTTTTAAACTGAATAGTAGTCGTTTCGACAGAGCATTGCTCTTGGGCCATTGATATATATACCGGCTATATAGATAAGTTTTGGGCCCAAGAGGGCGTTGACAGCTGAAACTGGGGGGTGGTATATATATAAACACACCTACATAGTAAATGCAGCAGGTGCGATAAGGGCCATAAGGGATTGGGATTTCGAAATGGTCTGGACATCGATATGATCGGGAAGCAGTGCTATAAATATTACCCAAAAAAGTCCACAACTGATACTGATAGACAGACTCAATGGCTGCGCCACTCGAAGTATTTCGCTGCCAAAAAGCGATTAATCATCTCCACCGCCTGTTTAGACCACAACAATAACAAGAGATTAATATAGCCGATGTCTGAGGCTGATTCTGATTCTGATTTTGGTTCAGATTCAAGCCCCGATGCTGTGGGAAACACCACAAAGGAGTACTTGTACACTAAGCCAAAAATTTGATAGGAAATCTAATGGGTTATTTTTTAAAACCATATAAGGTATTTAAATAATTTTGCATCCTCAAGGAAATATAATATAATAATATTTTTAATAAATTTTCTTTGTAATGGCATTTCAATTTTGCTAAATTATTGTGTAACTCATATTAATAATAAATATATTTTTTAATCATTTTAAATTTTAGTAAAAAGTCGAAACAATTTTCCAAAAAAATAAGAACTTTGGTGGATTATCTCAGTGCATTTTTAGGCATGTGGAACCACTGAAGGGGCCACCGGCTCATCTGGAGTGCCACTTGCCACTGCCGCAAATTCCCTTAATCATCGCCTGGTGTAATAAATCTAATTTCCCCCAGAGCAGCCATCAATCGATCGATCTACATATGCGGACACAAAAACCAATCAACTTACTGCCCATATCTGCACTCCATTCCAGGGCACTTCAATTCATATTCAAAAGCGTTGGATACAAAAAATCGGAGAAGAAAACGAGCGACAAGACTTGATAGATAATTCAACTATAAATATAAAATACATATGCCAATCGATGGCACTTGAAACTAAATAAGTTATTGAACTCCAAACTATAAGTATGTGAACATAAAATATGTGTTATATTAAAATTAATAAATATGAAATATAATATTCTATTGAAGTAATATAACATATATAAATAATAATAATAATGTATAATTTATAAAGTAGTTTGTTTTTATAGTACAACTTAGCCACCTCAAAGGCTAAAAGGCTCATTAAATTATATATGTAAATATACCTATTTTCTTGCATATGATTAAGTTTTATTAGACTTTTGAAACAAATTAGCCAGATCTAAGGTGGTTCTGTCTTTTAAAATATTTTATTCTTTGCTAGCGGATGTGATTGGCAGATAGCAAAGCCCGATGGTCCCTGATCTCCAAATCTTGTCCAATGCCACGACTTTTGGAGCGGGGAAAAGCGATAGAAAAATAAACAATGCCAGCCAATTACCAGCGATAACACAAATATTTCTGTAACAACCAGTTCTGGGGCCCAGTTTTCAGTTTTAAGTTTTCAGTTTCGATTTCGTCAGTCGGCCAGAAATTAGCACGTAACTTCGGTTCGAGCCCCACCCCACCCAAAAAAAAAAAACCGAAAACCCATTGGCACTAAGTCATAAAAATAACAATGAACAAGACACAAGACACGGCCCAAAAATGTACAACAATTTTTATGATATCTTTTCTTTTTCTGTATTTTTTGTTTTGGTTTTTTTTTGTTTTGTGGCTGTCATGCTCATTGAGCACGCTTTTTGCTTTTCGGCCTAAGACAAGGGGAGGCTGCCCTAGTAGCCGGGCTTCACTGTTCGGATTGTGCGTGCCCCTACTTACTGGCGATTTGTTGACATTAGGTCTTAAAATTTATTAGTTCTTATTGTCAACGGTTGGTGTAGGCCTTTTTTTTTTGGTAATTTTTTTGGGGGGAGGCAAGCCCTGGGCGTGGCCAATGGGATTTCGGTTGCCTAATGCCGCGGTCACAATCGAATCGATTCGAGCGGAATGCAATGCCATAACAATTAAATTAGTGACAATTAAAAGTGGTCTCTCTTTATTACACAGATGAAGTGCTCCAGGTTCTGCCTGCCAGTAAGTTCAAAATAAATCCCTTTGTCTGGTCTCTACTACTTCTCGAACTTTTACTTTTGCCAAGAAGTTATTATAGATCTGAAACCCTAAATTAAATTAAAATATTTACCATAATCTATAATTTTATTTTAAGTTTACGAATATTTTATATTTAAAAACAGGCAACTTTTACTTTCTTGTTTTCAAGTAGAATGTTTCAATATTAAGAACCTTCTATAATATTGTATATATTATATAGATCTCTATTTTCAAATATAAAATATTCAAAAGCAAATGGTAACTAACAAGTTTTACAAACTACCTCATAACTAAACGGGTTACAACTTAAAAAATATAATACAATAATTGTCAACATTAATATTTTTAATGTGGATGAAATGTTTTCCTGTTGATAAAAAATGTATGCATCTACGAATCTCCATAATTATTTATATCCCCAATCATTTTAATGTCCCAATAAATCATAAAAAATTACAAAATAAAATTGGCACTCGAAAATATATATATTTCTTGATAATGGAAGCCAAAAAGTTAAGAATTAAGAAGTCGCCGCATCATTGGGCCAATAATTTATTCATCACTTTGCTCGTCCAAGGTCGAATGGATTGGGGTCCGGAAATTGCTAGGTAAGTTTCGAAAAAAGGGTATATCCTGTGATCTGAGGATCTACTTTTCGCCCGTGGTGGCCAAGGCGGTGAGGACGTAGAAGCCCGACCAACTCAAATAGGTCACCGGCTCGCCGCTGCCCTCGCTGATCTGCTCCTCAAAGAATTTGGCCCCGAACTTGGCCATGAAGGCCAGGAAGGCCATGCCGGCCAGATTCCAGCTGCTCTCGTTGATCGATAGGTATAGTAGCGAAGTGATGTTACCCAAAATGGTGAGGGTCTTCAGGGTGTCCAGGGCACTACCCTCGCCTTCATCGCCGCTTTCGCCCTTGAAGAGACTGAGAATCACACTTACGGCCAGGGGCACTATAAATAGTCCATGGCCCAGGGCAATGTTGTTGCTCTCGGCAGCCAAATAGAGATCCACATTGACCAGCGGCAGCGGTAAGATCTCCATGATCGAGGTGGTCGTGTCCGTGACCTTCTTGGCATTCTCATCCCCAGTCAGGCTGCTCACCAGGCCGAAGAGTCCATGGCAAAATCCAAACACACAGGCGGTGAAGGCATACGGATGCTCGCTGGGCCCAATCTTGTAGAATCCAAAGCCGGTGGCTCCGCAGAGCAGAACGTTGAGCACGGTGCTCACAGCCGAGTTGTCCGACATCTTGATAGTGTTACTACTTTATAGAACTAACTAAAATTTTCAACTTTCTTTATACCAAGATTCTGTTAGAGTTAGGAACTTAGTATTTCAGAGATGATAAACTGCTTGCTTTGCAAATTACTTATAATTGCTTGATCTTGCTTTGTGCTCTCTTGCTTTTCAGCTCAAATGCTTACTGAGATTTGCTGAATGGTTTCCAAAGTTCCAACTTCCTTTATATTAAGATTTCATTAAAGTTAGGAACCTACTTTCTCATATATGATAAACTTGCTCTTTGGGCACACTGCTTGCTTTACAAACCACTGCTTATTGCTTTGTCTTTTCTTGCTTGTTAGCCAAAACGCTTTGTTTCATTTGTCTGGTAGCTGAACTGCTTAAATGCTGTCAAATAGGAATAACAAATATTTTTTTTGTTAAATTCTGGCTTAGTTGTTTGCTTAATATGTAATTAAAGAACTTTACCTACTTTTATGCTTTGTGAGCAAGATGAGGACCTATGCTTTTCTGCTAGTTTACTTTGTAAGCAAGATCAGAACCACTGCTTTACTTCTGCTTTCGATTGGTTGCTCAAGTCAGGTAACTTAAGAGATTAATTTGCTTTGGCTACTCACTTTTGTGCTTTCTAAGCAAGTTGATGACTCCTTCTTGCTGGCTTGGCCCCGGGCTTCAGTTTATTGACGGTTTTCAACGGAATTTCATCGAAAGAGAACGCAAAACTTATTAAAATGTTACAGGATACAATTTACAATTTGAATTTGTTCTGGATTTACGAATAGGTGCCTCAGTTTGACTCGAGAATGTGTCGACCGAAACGTTGAACGAGCTGTGTGATAATGATCCAAACGAAGCACTGACAAATCTGGAGAGCTCAAAGTTAATGTCAACGCCTGCTGCCAGTTGGGAAAAGACTTGGTCTTTTCCTGTGAGAAACCTAATTATTAAATATTGTTTCCAGAACAATTGTTATCGCTGAGGAAATTTGAAAATTGCAAGGGGTCCTTGAGGTTTTCTAATTTAAAACATTGATTTTTGAATATATAAGATAAATACTCAATTAAAAAATATGAAAGTTGGCCTTGGAAAATCTTTTTAAATTACTATTCCATTTCCATTTTATTCATCATCTAATGTATTAGTATAATATTATAATATTTTGTCTTACAAATTTGTATATTTTTCAAAAGAAATCATGATTTTGATAAAGCCAAAGAAACATAAAGAAAAGAAAGAAAAAAAAGAAAAGAAAGAAAAGAAAGAAAAGCAAGAAAATATTGAAAACATTGAAAATTTTGAACATGTTGAAAAAAAGGAAAATATAGAAAATATTGAAAGAAAGGAACATATTGAAAGATTGGAAAATATTGAAAGAACGGAAAAAAGGGAGAGGAAAGAAAGGGTAAAAACTATTAAGGATGTCGAGAAGAAGCCCAGTCTGCTGGCGGATCCCAACAAATTGCTAACGCCCAGTTGGTTCTGGAACGAATATATAAACCGCCAGATAGTACCGCCCCCTGTGGCCCATCCCTTGTTGAATGTCGCCGATCCCCAGTTGTCATCGCCCATATCCAATTGCTCCAAGCTTGATATTCAAGACAATAGTGGCGTTGCGGCCGTCACTTCGGTTTGTGGGGAAATGTCACCATGTCCGCCGCCACCGATTTTGTATCCGAATTACATGAGTTCCGATTTCGCTGACATTATAACCATTGCCCGGCAAAGACGTCTTCGAAGTGCGGGCAAAGCCTTTAGTATCGAGGATATTATGCCCAAAGAGGAGGAAACAGAAGAAATAAAGCCAGAGCCAGAGAAAAAAACTTCAAGGGAATGGCTCGAGGTTCCAGATCGTACACCTCCTGCTGTGGATCGCATGCTCACCGATGGGGTCACCGCCAATGATTTCGAGATCGTTTGGAAATCGGATAGTCTGGCCAATATGGATCGGCATTTATCCTGTGCCGAGATAATTCTAAACAAAGCAAATCGCAAGTTAGGTAAGTTTGAAAGATTATTATTATTATTAAAAAAATAATGAAGCTAAAATATCATAAATAGGACATGTATATTTTTAAAGAATATACAAGAAAGAACTCAATTCGCGCAATATTTTGAATTAAATACAAAAACGTAATATTTAAAATTCATGATTTCATTATGAAGTACATAAAGGTAAAATATGTTTAAAAAAGGGATTCCGATTTTAGTTAAAAATAGTAATATTCTTAACGGTTTTCAATCGTAGGCCTACAAATAAAAATCCGACTGCTCTGAGCAGCTTGTAACATATACTAGCAGTCCCCATTAAAAATAATATTTCCACATTTAACGTTAGTTAAAAACTGCATTGAAAAAAAACAGTGAAAAATAGGATCGGATAAGTCCCATATATATATTAAAATTCCCCCCTTCCCCAGCTATCCATGAAATCATATGGGAGGCGATTAAGAATTGCTGGTATGACGACCTGGAGATCCAGATCGAGTCGAGGTTCTACTATGTGGACCGTTATCTGTTTACCCACTACGCCCGTAACTTTCGCAGCTGTTCGAGTTCGTTTTTGCAATTCCCAGGGCAAAAGGTGCAGATGGGTATGCTGGTGCGCATTTACGAATGGATGCTGGGCGATGATTTGGCCTTCCCCATTGGCAACGAACTGATACCCTTCTTTTCTGCGGCCAAGTTCCTGGGCGTAAAGAAATTGTTGGAACAGTATTGGGGCACCTTTTCGAAGCGCGGCGATCGCGGCATTTGGGAGCTAAACGCCTTTCACACCTACCTGATGGCCAGGGAGTTCCATTGTCAGGACATCATGACCGTAATGCTGTCGCGCCTGCGCAAGTGCTTGCTGCCCCTGGTGGCATCCCGGGAGTTCCTCGAGTTCGATGTCAATGAGGTGGCCTGTTTGCTGGGCCAGGATATGTTGTGTGTTAACAGTGAGGATGAGCTGTTTTTCGCCGCCGTCTATTGGTTGAATTTCGCATGGGAGGAACGCAAGAAACACGCAGTCAATCTGATGAGCAAAGTGCGTTTTTGCTTTCTATCACCCTGGTTACTCCGATCCATGGACAACAACCCGGAAAACGCTTGCATCGGCGAAATAGCCCAGATGCCAGAGGTGAGTATACAAAGCTGGTTCTTAGAAACACAAATTTCCAATTGAAGTCACTGAAGAATTCGCGTTTGCATATTAGTTAACTCAAAGGAGTGGAGTGCATTGTAAGCAAGTTAAATAAGTCGATTAAAGATTATCTAAGAGCATTTAGAGTAAGAAAATTTTAAGTTGCATTATATTAACCATGGAAACAGCTAAAGAATTCGCCTTGTCTACAAGTATTTAAAGCTAAAGAATTCGCGGTTGCCCTATAAATAGCATGAGAAAAATCGAAACTGAAGAATTCGCGTTTTCACTTTCATGCTCAACTTAAACCGGAAAATGCGAGTATACCAGTATTACAGTTCACAGAAAAGCTTGTTAAGAATCACATGAGCCCGAAGAATTCCGTGTTTAGTTATAGTACATTTTTGAAACTCAATTTTACAACTTCCATTATGAAATATTGTTTTTATTACAGGTTTGTCGCTGGATGTGGGAGAGCGCCATGTTCTGTACTGCCCGCCGGGCTAATTCGCGGAGTAAAAGGCATAAGGGAAAGATCGTTATGGATATGTTGCAGCCGTACCACAACCAAAAGATCGCCGAGCGATATTGGACCTTCTGCCCTGGCGTGCCGCACCATCATGACCTAAAATGCCCGCGCTTTCGCGAACTGACTTTCGAGAGCTTCAAAAGATTCCTACACCGCCTCCATTCACATGGCCAGCAATTTATGGACGACCTGCAGTTCGTCCCGAATAAGAACTACCACACGTATCGCTGCTGCGTCGATGTCGAGTTCATTTCGATTAACGATCGGACTTGTCCCAGACCGGGCTTCTACGAAATGAACATTCCCGAATAATACAATGTTTGTTTATAATTTGCGAGTAAAGACTCAACGTCTAGCACTACAATTTGCCGAGACTTGCCTATATAAATTTTCGGATGTATTGGCGTACATGTAATTTAGAGGCTTAAACATATTTATAACATGAAAGGAAGCTAACATGTTATTAACATGACATAGGTTTACCTGAAAAAAATTTGTTTGTCATAAAAAACTTGGCCTACCTTAAGGCGTAGCTAAAAATATTTAATTTAATACAATAACACCTAAATAAAAACAACCTTCACCGACGGTCTGACAAAACAATGTGATCAAAAATTCCAATGTATACTTTATAAAGTCAGATATGTCAGTTTTACCCCTTTTCCATACCGTCCGACAAAAAATATAATGCCCTTTGAAAGGGATATACAAATGAAAAGCAATCTTTGTACGTATACGTAAACATATTCAATTTTTGTAAAAAAAAGCAATTAACTCTTTTTTAAATATAATTTTTTTTAATAAATATAAATTTTTTCAATTTAAAACAAAATCTTGGTAAACACATAACATTCCCTATAGTCGTTTTTATGTTTTTAACACAGAACTTCTGATCACTGCGCGTTTCCAACTTCAATTACCCTTTGGCTGTCCTTTATGTTCCCTTTTGCTTTTCTCTGATTTAAGGAAAATTATATATTTATGACTAGTCCTGTGGATCAGCCGTGTGTATTTCGGCCTCAATGCTCCCAGCCGCTTGTATGTTCTCGTCGTCTGGGTCACCACCTTCGGAGCCAGTGGTGACCGCACTGGATATGTCCTCGTAGTGCTCATCATAACCGGCAAATTGTCTGGCATTTCCTGCTCTTTGATTGTTGTTATCATTGGCATCGGGCTGTGGATTCTGGGGATTCTGGGCAGGGGCCTCCCTGATCTGACCACCCATATATTGCCACACATTCTCATCGGTGTAGTTCACAATGCGACGTCTCCTTCGGCGTATGTAGAGCTTCTGACGGAGATAGATCTTCAGGAGTCCCTTCACCCCAATATAGGTCATCCCGCCATAGATGGTCCGCTGCAATGGATCCTCCAAGCTCCTGAAGCACAAATTTCCCACCGCGGTGGCCAGTGTGGGCAGAAAGACAGCTCCGCAAAAGAGCCGTGAGACGTAGAGGGGATCGGTCATGGTCGGGGCATTTTGTAGGGGTGGCAAATTGTTCGAACTATCGCTGAGATCGCCCAAATCCCCCCCGGTATCGGGTTCGCCAGCCCAGTGGAAAAAGGGCAACTTTCGGAAGATGTTGTACCTACTGCGCATGGCCTTCAGAATGGCATCCTCCCAGCGAACCAGGCGCGAAAGGACCAATCCCACCGGTATAAATGGAAGACCCACCAGCAGAAAGACCTCGCTCTCCATGAGCTCAAGGCCCCTTTTCTGGCCCATCACCTGGATGACGGTGATGGCACCATATGTGATCGCAGTCCAGTAGACACAGCACATGAACATTCCGGCCGCCAGATAGGGGCATGTCCTCCTCACCGTAAAATCCAACCATTCCATCGCTTCGGCCAGGAAACTCATCCGGGGAAAGACAATGATATACTGCGTCTGGCATTGCTGGCAAAGCACCGATCGGCGGTGGTTGCCCCGCTGCTTCTCGTCGATCCAGCGGTACAGGCAGCTCTGATGAACCCACTTGGTGACTCCGCGGCAGCGGCACGGCTGCACCCACTTGGCCAGCGGGTTCTCCTCCTCGCCGGCGAAGCATATCCAGCAGGTACGATCCATATCCGCTTCCGAGTACTGATTCGATCCTCCGCTGCTACGCGGCGTGGCCAACTGATCGGGATCTGCAAGATCGTACGGCAGATCCGACTGGGAGCCATCCACCTGACCATCCGACTGGTAGTACACCTCCAGATCCGCTTCCATCATATCGCGGAGTGATACACCCAATGGGCCAATGGATTGCAAATATCAAACAGGGAAGACGCCTCTCGTCGAAGAACACGCACAACAAATTTGGCACGAATGAAACTGAAATTATAACGACTCTAAAAGTACAAGCTCTAAAACGAGCTGTGAGCAAGGAGTGAACTGTATGGCTTAGATCAGGTGATCGACAGAAAAAACCTACTACTTCCTACTATCAAAAACAATATTTTTTGAGGCTTTGAAAAACCATTGAACACATGAGGATCACTTATTTAAATTAAAAATTATTTTATTATAATTTTCTAAGTAATTATTTATGAAAACACGGGTTTACCTTCCTTAAAAGGGCAAAATTTCTTTATAAACATTTAATATGCATTTATTATTGTGATTTATGGTTTATCACTTATTTAAATGAAATTTTATACTAAAAATTATTTAATTATCATTTTGTGAATGTGATTCATGAAAACATGGTTCTACATTCCTTAAAGGGCAAAATATGTTCATAAGCTTTAAATAAGCATTTATTATTGTGATTTAGGGTTTATCACTTATTTAAAGGAAATTTAATATTATGAATTATTTAATTATAATTTTGAGAATAAATTATCATGAAGAAAAAGATTTGCATTCCATAAAAACTCAAAATATGTCCATAAACATTTAATAAGCATTTATTATTGTGATTTATGGTTTATTTCAGTTAACCACATTTTGTTGCCTACTTTTCTGCGAGGGACTTCCCCTTGAGCTTTTGTAATGTGTTGCCTATATTTGAGGGCAAACAAATAATATTGTGCTCTTATTATTTTCTTTTTATACCTATGCATTGTATAATGCTGCTGTCATTTATAAAGCCAGTTTCAGATTAGCATAACGTTGGAAAACAGGGTTCCAATTTTTGCTTGTAAGTATCTATTACATTGTTGCCAGATAACATAAATATTATTGCAGATCACATTTCCGCTTTTTAATAAAATCACAAGGTTCTGGGATAATTTTAATAACTGAGAATTATTTTCAAAAATATAGCAAGGTGCTTATAATAAATCGTTGGGGTGTGCAAATGTAAGAGCAATTGTATTCAATCAACACACTTCTAGAATTTTCCACCTTTTTCTGAGTATAAATTTTAGCTTATTTTAAGAGCTTATTAAAATAATACAATCAATGGATTTTCTCAGCTTTTTTTGGGCAAAGACGCCTTTACTAAAAAAATAGATAATACATTATTATACAGAAATGTTTGCTGAAATTAATATAACTTAAGCTCATTTTACTTTAATAAAATATTTAAAAGCCCGAAAATATGCAATACATTTTTGGAAACCATAAGGTACAAAAATGTGTTCTTAAAACTTTTCGCCCATAAGCTCGCTTTAAAAACCCACAAAAATAAAAATCATAAAATGCAGTTTATGTTTTATTCGTTATCTCTTCAATTCACATATGTATGAATAGGTTGTTTTCTTTTGTGTGGGTGTGTGTTTGTGTCATTTCCGTTCCGTTCCCTTTCGTTTCGCTTCCGTTTCGGCCACTCGTTTCCGGCTCAAACTGCTCTCAAATATCACAACTGTTAATAATAAGCGACTACAAGAATTGCGCAAAAAAAAATCTCTTCGATATAGATACAAAAAAAAGCACTACATATAGAAAAATCGGTAGGGGGCCCATTTTCCTCAGCAGTTGGGGCACTTGACCAGCCCGACTTCGTCGCAATTCATGCACTTCAGGGCCACGAACTCCGCCGTAAAGTGGTTCCGGTGCACCGACTTCTTGGATCCGCTGCAAGAGGGACACGGCAGCAGGCGATATCCGCCGCACGTCTGGCACGTATACGCAGTGGCAATCGACTGGAAAACATTAATGGGCACTCGATTAATTAAGTCTTCATGGCAGCGATAATAAAATAATTATATATGTTTATGTGTGAGGTATTGGCGTTGAAAAGCCATTATTAAATACATTTTTATGGCCTTTTTTAATACCGAAAATGTGTTGAAAAATATAAGCGATTCAAAATGTAATTTCGAGGCTAATAGTGTAGTGGAAATATTTTTGGTTGATTTTGAAATATGAGTATTATTATAAAATGTTAAGTAAAATCTTTTGAAGAGTTATGGGCAGAAAAATATAATTTTTAAATACATCAGTGACCAATTAAAAAAATCTTTTGAATCTGATAGAGTATACAAAATGTTTACTAAATTCGAGTTTGAACAAGTATTGTTATTAAATTACGTTAAAAGATAAAATATATTTAAAAACAATATTTATGTGATGCATATATAGGTATTAACAAGAATCATTCAATGTAAATACAAATTCTTTGAAATATTTCGTTTAAGGGTATTGAAATATAATAATATTTAAATATCATATACATCAAATCACGTCAAAAGCTTAAATGTATTCAAAAACAATTTTTACATAATACATAAATGAGTGTTAACCAAAATCTTTCACTACAAATAAAAGTTCCTAGAAATATTTCGTTTAAGGGTATTCAAATATAATAGTATTTAATTGTATATTACATTATGCAAACAAATAATTTGATATTTAAATATTTATTTATTGATTCTATTCTCAGCTTACTTTGTACGGTTTCAGCAGCTGCCGTAGTTCTCCACTCTCATTCAGTCGCTCCACAACGTCGGCATCCTGTAAATGCATTTACTTCTTATTAATATATTTTATTATATTACTATATTTTCAGTATTTTACCCCGATGTGCTGGCCCTCGACGAAGAGCTGTGGCACCCGGATGGTCTCGTCGTGCATCCGTTCCCGCATCTCCTGCTGGTACTCCACGCTCATGAAGACATCCCGCTCCTCGAACTTAATTAGCAGGGTGCGCAGGATTTGCTTGACATTGGCGCACTTGGCATACGTTTCCCTGATGATTCCCATGCTGGTGGTGTACAGCACCACCTTGCCCAAGTCCTTTTCCATGTAGTTCTGCAATTAAATGGGGGAAAACTCAAGTTAGAAAATTCTAAAAAATGGGTAGCAGCATCCCTATTAGAATGTTTTTATATATTATAGATTGTATTCTGCATTTATGATATTTATAATATTTAATAAACTAGATCGTGCCATTTAAACATTTTTATAAAATCTGAAAATGTCTAGAATATTTGTAGTATATTTTTTTTAAGTACCTTAAAATTCTAAGTGCATTTTAAAACCAATTTTGAACCAAAATATATATTTATGGAATACAAAAATAACCATTAAAAATAATATTTCTATGCAGACAAATGGAAATTTGAAGATTCTGCTTAAGGGGTCTAAAATACCATAGAAATATGTTATACAAAACATCATACCAATGAATTACGAATTAAGCTCGAGTTTTTTTTAGCATGCAAATGCGACTATTGTGTTGAAGCCAGCTGTGTGTGATATCTGGCACTTGATCGCTGATTCACACCCCGAAATAAGATGTTTGTTACAATAAGCCAACTTGTACATATCTTGGCCAACGGATCGAGGGCATCTTCGGCTTGCTTCATCGCCAAAGCTGTGTCGCCTTTGTTTTTAACCTTCCCCCCCACGGAGTGAGAAAAATGGTAACAGCCTTGGCCGAAACACTTGAGCCACATGAAGAATTGTGGTTACAAATTGCCCGCTAATTGCCAAGCGAAAATACTTGTTAAACGAAACCGAGCCAGCTTCTTTGCCAGACTCATTAGCGGATCCCACTTAAGACCGGGAACAGAGCATTCTTTCAGACGGGTTCTCTCAGTGCCAGCCATTATTATCCGTTGATACCAATACCGCAGACACATACTGCAATCACAACGGCTCCAATTGAAAATTACGCATAGCCAATTTGTGTAAATGGCAAATGAATGTCCGAAGTGAAAACTGTGCACAATGCGATATGTGAAATATTTTTTTCTCCATTCGGTGGACTTGTTTATATATCTTTTTTTGGAGGGGGGCTCTTCCGTTAGTCAGCCTGATTAACTAGATTTCCATCGGCGAAGACAGCCGATACCTTAAACTCGATCGTATTTCCCGCGGCGACCAGTTGCCTCAGTGAGTTGTCAAATTTTGCCATGATTTATTGTTATGAGAAACATAAATTAATAGAGCAGGACATCTGGCAACTATCCAGAGAGTTATGATGGTGAAATGTGATCTGAACATGAGAAATGGTATCAAATTAATTGTGTCTCTCGCTCTTTGATCGCGCACACAAGGGAATTATTTTGCATTAACCATCGGGAGTGTGTAATTAAAAACAAATGAAAGCTATTAATTTCATTAACGACATCGATAAATTTTGAAATATTAGAGGAAAAGGATGGTCCATAAAGTAAGTCAATGTTTAAAATCTACAATCCAAAGAGAAACTAAATAAATGTATTAATAAGTAATCATTTAAAGTAGTTTAGATACGTAATTTAGTCAATTAGTTTAGTACGCCTATACAAAAATTTGAATTTACTAAATATGATATAATATCATCTATGTTTTTTAGGAATGTTTTTCCCTAATATACATCTATGAAAATAAAGGTAATATTGGGTTTAGTTTGAAAAACTCCATTAATATAAAATATTTTTTATATTACTTTATTTTCAACTTATTATATTATTGTTCTTTTGAAAAGACGTTTAAAAAAAATCAAATTATTGCATTTGTAAAAACTAAATATTCATTTTTTAAGATCAAATAAAATGAAAGTAATGAAGTAATATTTATTTCATGAAAGATAATTCAAAAATACCTACACCCTCTTCCTTAAGCCTTATAAAAGGTATCTACCAAGTCGACCCTCATATGATTTCTCGACTTGCATCGGCGCATTGCACTTGCATAAGCTGCAGTCCGCGTCGAATCCCCAGGCCCCATCCACTTTATCAGGTGGCCCCCAATGGATCCCAGTCGCAAAATCGCCTCAGGTGGCGGTTATTTAATATATGGCATATAATAACCAAACATAACGCCGCTTGGGAGAGACGTAAACAAATGTAAAGCTGGTAAACTGGTACATTAATAGTTGCCATTTGCCATTAAGCGTCATTTGTCGCTCCTCCGACGAGGGTTCAAAGCCATCGAATGTAATGAACATGTTCATGAGAATAAAAAACAGATTGCCAACGAAATGGGCATGAATATGAATGAGGCTGTGAACCGCAGGCCAAAAAGC